TCATGAAACCACCCACTTTTTCCTGTAACTCGCAAGATTCTATACATTGCTGGGTGATGGCAGACTGTCTCCCAGTTTAAATTCTACAGGTTCTGTCTCCTCCCACCCCTATAGGCATCCAGTGAATCTGCTCAGAAGAATTTCCTATGGGTGTACGATTTGTTATCAAAAACTCAGAATGTGTTAAGTTTTGTTCTGGCCCCCCCACTCCCGTGTTCCATAAAAACTCAATGGGGCAGCCTTCAACCTTGTCGTCTAGCAGTGGCTATCTCAGACTGTCCCATCTGATGCTGCACACCCACTGAGGAGGGACACGGTTCCATCACACTTTGGGGACTGTATCCAATGGGTGGGGGAGAGGGAGGGTACAAGGAGTTAGATGGTGGAATTTTCTCTGTTAAATTTGGCTGTGTGATCTCCCCCACCAAATTATCTGCTGCTTGTCTCTTCAGACCTTCCAGCAGCGTGGATCAGGGCATTGAGCCTGGTTCCTGCCACAGCGCTAACTGCTTGAGGGCTCTTCAGTCCTGTGTGAAGTGACCTGTGTGCCCACAATTGTAGCATTTCCCTTGTGGTGGCGACTGCTGCCTAGTACCTCCATGTTGCTGATCCTTATCTCTCACTGCAGGATGGGCATTTGGAGGCAGATTGCTTCGATAATAACTTCCCTTTTTTGCAGTCGGCGCCTTCATTCTTCCACATGGTACTGGGGTTTGGGGCTTTTATTGGGTGCATTTTCCCTTGCCTGATTTGGGGTGCTTTGATTCATGAATCTCTTTCTCCCAAGCCCAGTGTTCTGTGTGGCCGTTTCTGTGGGATCAAAATTTTCGCAGGCTTTCCTCACTGCCTCAGTGGCATGTGAGATAAACTTCAGGTCCAATTGGCTCTGTTCTGCAGTGTCAGCACAGTCTGATCTAACTTATGGAGCAATTCCATGAAGATGCCTGGCAAAGCAGTTGGCTCCACTCTCTTTCACTGCCTCCTCTTATTTAATCTCTCCATGGGGCCTCCCCTATTGTATCCTACAGCAATTAGATTTGCCATTTTCATAGCCTGCAGGTTCCCTCTTGTTCTTCCATTTCCTCCCAGTCTATCCATAATTACTGTCCCCCTCTGATTCTATTTTCCCATATACACATATCATTCCATTTTCTACCAAAAGTTGGGACTTTAATTTTTCAATCTAATGCTGGTATTTCAAATGGACCACAGCACAGGCTGTGTTTTCTTTGCCTGTTTGGTGTTGGAATCTGAGTGCAACCTGTAGGTTTTGTATTTCTCGGTCAGTTTGTCCACAGGTTTTTGGGCCATGTCCCAATCACTGACTGCATGGTACACTTTCTGATCTCTTTATCACACACAAGTTCTCTTGCTGTGAGGCAGACAAAGGGACACGGAATTTGGTTTGTGGTTCAACTCAATTTTATTAACAAAATATTCCTCATTAAAAGCACCAAGTGAGCATTTCCCAAATTCTTTAAAACTCTTTATCTAACTCTGTCTGTCTGAGAAAGGACATTATCCATCATGATCCATGTGTTTGAGCTGGGCTGTTGGAATTGCCTTCCCCTCCAACATAGGGCTGGCTCTCTTCCACAAAGGTGGATCTCGCAAATCAGGGCAGATCATCTCCTGGGTCGTCTTTGGATGCTGCACAGTCTTCTGCTATGAGTCTTGCTCCAAGTCTTCATTAAGCAAGTGGCTTTCTCGCCCCAAAACTTCCTGAATGTTCTGCGGCCTTTGGCCAATGGGGTCATGAGTTGGGTTCAAAGCATCCAATGGAGTTGTGCCAACACCCTTCACTGTTGCCATGCCGGGGAGGTGTAAAGTGCATGTTCTCAAGTACTCGCTGGAAGTCAAGGTACCAGAAAGTTTGTTTGATATTTCTCCAATACACAACTCTCAGGCTGATTGTAGCTGGCTCCCCCTGAACCTTTCTGATCACTTTGACCTTGATATCCATTGTTCTCTGTACCTAATAACTGCTGGCTTCAAAATTTTCTATCATACCCAACTTCTCCTGCTATGGGTCAATTTAGAATGTTCAAGATTGGGCCCGTGGTCATTTGTTCTTAAGTTGATTTAGTTCAGTTTGAATCTCGTGCCCAAGGAACTTTGTAAAGAACTGTTACCTCATTGGATTGATTTTGAATGTTAATACTTGCCACTTATGTTGTTTAAGAATTAATGGAATTGTTGATTTAAACTTTGTATTTAGCCTACAAGGCACTTACGTACACCACAAAGAGAAAAAAACCTGAGCTCTCTTGGCCTGCCTGCAACTGTGAATAATGCAAGTTTATTAACTTTAGCAATGGATTAAAAGAAAGAATATTCTGCAACTGAAGCTTTGATAAACCTAGCTTTATTGTTTTTGCCAGAAATGACTAAACCTCTGATAATTTTCTAGTGGAATTTGAGATACAAATTTGCTTCTAACAAGATTTCTAAATACTAATGACTTCAAATTAAGTCAATTCAAAATTTACATAAACTAACTTCCACTTGAGTCAAAATGGAGTCATTAATCTTGCGGAACATAGAATTTGGCTGGATTTCCAGCTATACTTGTGGAAAAAAGTAATGAGTGGGAAATCCTGAATTAAATATCATCAGAGATGAATCTTTGTTCTTCAAGGTCAAGTGGATCTTTGTCTTCTTCTTTACAGATGTCTTGTTTCTCACCATCCTGATGAGAAAAAACAATATTTTAAAATGTATTTGGTACTGAAAAATAGTGAATTAAAAATGCAAAATAACATTTGAACATGGGTCCAATGTTCCAAGGTCTGGCAATCACATGCAGATTGCCACTCCATTCCCTTTTAATGCAACAAAAGAACTCCACATTTTTGACAGGAGCTTCTGAGCAGGCTTTTTCAGAAATGCAGAGCCTTACTTTCGTTCTGACAGGTCCCTCATAGCACAGAACAACTGGGGAAAGACAATCCCACCCTTTCCCACAGCAGTCACTTGCCTTGTTCTATCATTGAAAGGTCCATTTCAGACAGCCAGTTTTAAAGGTGCTGTGAAAAGCTAAGTACCTAAAACAGGTGTGTAGTCAGGCTGTCAGGAACGTAAGATGCCAGCGTGGCATGGTGACAATAGAGTAGGGGGTAGCTACCATGTAGGTAAAATGCTTGGTGGAAAGGGATAGGATGCCAGGTCAGTAGGTTGCCATATAAGCAGCGTTTCCTCTAGGCTGCACATGTACCCAGCTGCTCCAGTATTCTGCACATGGTAATTAGTGTTGGCAATCACAGCAGTCACTCCTGGTTCCAAGCGTTGCTGCTGAATTAAAGGGAAAGTTGCATTTAAGTAGCATTCATGGGGGCTGGCTGCCAGAAGGGGAGGTACATGGTGGAAGGATGCCAGAGATGGAGGCTGCACGGGGGTTTAGGGTGTCAGAGGGGGTAGGATCCCAAGTGAGTAGGGTATGAGGTAAATAGACGGCCAGTGGCAAGAGGGCTAGGTCAGTAACGGAGTGTTTAGGGTAAGGTCAGAAGTCACATGATACCAGGTTATAGTCCAACAGGTTTATTTGAAATCACAAGCTTTCTGAGTGCTGCCTCTTTGTCAGGTGAAGCGATGGGTGGACAGGTCTAGTGATGTAAGATGTGTTGGATCCCAGGGGTTATGGGAGAAGACGGGAGCGAGGGGGGGTCGTTGGGTGCGGGTGAAGGGTGTTGGGTCAGAGTCCCAGGGAATTGGAATTGAAGCTGTGAGTGTTAAACTCGGTGTCTCTTGAATTGTCATTCAGGAGTTGGACCAGGTTTTTAATAGTCTAACATTTCCTGAGTAACTATTTAACTGCAGAGAAAACCTCCAAGTTCTCTGATTTAAATGGATACTTTCAGAGAGTTGCATGTAGAGGGGAATTGCCCAGCAGAATCTTCAATTTCCATGGCAATCTCTTTGGAGTCTGCCATGATGGAGATTCTGCAGATTGCACATGTGCCATTGCCATCTACCCTTCAGAAACTATTACCTGGACGTCAGAAAATCTGTGCCAATATTTCTTTTCACTTCCATACACATTTTTGCAAAATAGTTGGTTGAAGGACAACAAACAGAGTATGAATGGTAAAGAATAACTTGTAGTTGCAAATTTTATCAAAGAAATGTGCAACATAACGCACAGTGTATGAATAAAATTAACAATAGAAATATTGATAACTTTAGATTACTGTTTTGCGTATTTCCTCAAGCCTTTAACAAACTTCAGTTGTTACATATTGATGTTCAGAAATAATTTTAACATATATCAAGCTGTGGTGAATACTTCCAATAAGGCTTTGGAATACAGAGTTATTGTTGTGTGCCATTTTGATTCTTAGCCTCAACAAAAATTGTTCTTGCACAGGTCAAGGTACATAAATTTGTTAATAACAAGGTGTAGAGCTGGATGAACACAGCAGGCCAAGCAGCATCAGAGGAGCAGGAAAGCTGATGATGAAAGCCTAGACCCTTCTTCAGAAATGGGAGAGGGGAAGGGGATTCTGAAATAAATAGGGAGAGAGGGGGAGGCGGATAGAAGATGGATAGAGGAGACAGACAGGTCAAAGAGGCGGGGGTGGAGCCAGTAAAGGTGAGTGTAGGTGGGGAGTTAGGGAGGGGATAGGTCAGTCCAGGGAGGATGGACAGGTCAAGGGGGTGGGATGAGGCTAGTAGGTAGGAGATGGGGGTGGCACTTGAGGTGGGAGGAGGGGATAGGTGGGAAGAAGGACAGATTAGGGAGGTGGGGACAAGCTGGGCTGGTTTGGGGATGCGGTAGGGGGAGGGGAGATTTTGAAGCTTGTGCAATCCACATTGATACCATTGGGCTGCAGGGTTCCCAAGCAAAATATGAGGTGCTGTTCCTACAACCTTCGGGTGGCATCGTTGTGGCGCTGCAGGAGGCCCAGGATGGACATGTCGTCTAAGGAGTGGGAGGGGGAGTTGAAATGGTTGGCGACTGGGAGGTGCAGTTATTTGTTGCGAACCGAGCATAGGTGTTCCACAAAGCGGTCCCCAAGCCTCTGCTTGGTTTCCCTGATGTAGAGCAGGCCACATATGGAACAGCGGATACAGTATACCACATTAGCAGATGTGCAAGTGAACATCTGCTTGATGTGGAAGGTCTTCTTGGGGCCTGGGATGGGGGTGAGGGGGGAGGTGTAGGGGCAGTTGTAGCACTTCCTGCGGTTGCAGGGAAAAGTGCCAGGTGAGGTGGGGCTGGAGGGGAGTGTGGAGCAGACAAGGGAGTCACGGAGAGAGTGGTCCCTCCGGAAAGCAGATAAGGGTAGGGAGGGAAAAATGTCTTTGGTGGTGGGGTCGGATTGCAAATGGCGGAAGTGTTGGAGGATGATGCGTTGGATCCGGAGGTTGGTGGGGTGGTACGTGAGGACGAGGGAGATTCTTTTTTGGTTGTTATTGCGGGGAGGGGGTGTGAGGGATCAGTTGCGGGAAATGTGGGAGACACGGTCGAGGGCGTTCTCAACCACTGAGGGGGGATGTTGCGGTCCTTGAAAAACGAGGACATCTGAGATGTTCGGGAGTGAAATGCCTCATCCTGGGAGCAGATGCGGCGGAGGCAATTGGGAATAGGGGATGGCATTTTTGCAGTAAGGTGGGTGGAGGAGGTGTATTCTAGGTTGCTGTGGGAGTCGGTAGGCTTGAAATGGATATCAGTTTCCAGGTGGTTGCCAGAGATGGAAACAGAGAGGTCCAGGAAGGAGAGAGAGGTATCAGAGATGCTCCAGGTGAACTTAAGGTTGAGGTGGAAGGTGTTGGTGAAGTGGATGAACTGTTCGAGCTCCTCGTGGGAGCACGAGGCGGCACCGATACAGTCATCGATGTAACGGAAGAAGAGGTGGGTTTAGGGCCAGTGTAGCTACGGAAGAGGATTTTTCCACATAACCTACAAAGAGGCAGGCATAGCTTGGGCCCATGCGGGTACCCATGGCCGCCACCTTTGTCTGTAGGAAGTGGGAGGAATTGAAAGAGAAGTTGTTAAGAGTGAGGACGAATTCAGCTAAGCGGATGAGGGTGTCAGTGGAGGGAGGCTGGTCGGGCCTGCAGGACAGGAAGAAGCGGAGGGCCTTTAGGCCATCTGCATGGGGAATGCAAGTGTATAGGGACTGGACGTCCATGGTAAAGATGAAGTGTTGGGGACTGTGGAATCGAAAGTTTTGGAGGAGGTGGAGGGCGTGGGTCCGTGACACCACCCACTTGCATTCCCCATGCAGGGGCGGGGGCAGGGGTAGGGGATGGGAGCAGTATGGAAAGTGGGAAGGAACTGCTTTCAGCGATTCAATTATTTCCCTAACTAGGATCATATGATCACACCTCAGCAAATATTTTGGAAAGCTAATAGAATATTGTTACTTACTGAGACGGGAATTGAATGTCAAAGCAGGAAGGTCATATTTCATTTATACTGGACATGATGAAACCATATCTGGAAATCTCTATATGGTACTGGTCTCCTGACTTAAGAAGGAAGGATGTAAATAAGTTGGAAGTAGTTTTGAGAAGATTTTCTAGATTACTATCTGAAATGGACAGTTTGTCTTATGAGAAAAGATTGGACAGGTAGTCATACATCCACTAGAGTTTGGAAGAATAAGAGTCAATATGATTGAAACATGTCAAGACCAGTCTGGACTTTTTAAGCTGCAGATGGAAAAGGATCTTCCTCTTGCAAGAGAATCTAAATGAGGGGTCACTGTTTAGAAAAAAATTCTCCTTACCCATGTAAGACAGAGGATAAGGAGAATATTTTTTCACTGAATGTCACTTGTCTTTAGAACTCAAAAGACTTTGGGAACAGAGTCTTTGAATATTTTTAAGGGAGAGGTAGGCAGATTTTTGATCAACGATACGTCGAATTGTTGTCAGAAATCTGAAGTTATTGAATTGCAGAGTATACTTGAGAGACCAAGTGGCCTAATCACACTGCTGTTTTGTATGTTCATATGTTTATTTATATACTTTTGTGTCTCCTGATCAGACTGGGGTTTAAGTGACACATTCTTTAGGCTAGACTTAGTGCATTGCACTGCAGCAGGAAACATGACACCTGGGCCAACTAAATTATGGGAGAATTGCTAAGTCAGTCCCCCATTGGTAGCAAAATTTCCCCAATGCAATAGAAGGATGCAAGGGTCAGATGCAGGTTTCCAACTGTTGGTGGCAGGGTGTTAATTATGCTCGTTTAATGAACCGATTCATACCCATTATCACAAAGTACACATCAGTTTAGTGGTGGTTCAGATATACAATAGGGATTGCATGGCTTTCCCTTGAGGACCATCCAACAAACTCCATCATTTGTCATGACCCTCTGGGAATGGGAGAGGGCATGCCTGGCTATCTGGCAGTCTGTGCGCAATCGGTGGTTCTGACATTGGAAGGCAGGTCATGTTGCACTGGAGATGATTGGGACTAGGACACTAATCTGAGGAACTCCTGCAGAGGTGTCCTGGCACCAAGGTGAATGACCTACAACAAACCAACCATATCCCTTTGTGTCAGTTATGATTCCAACTAAGAGAGTCAGAAGCAATACAGGCAAGGAAAAATAAGAGTTGAATCGGCAAGACTGATAATGATAATGCTACCCCTTGACTACAGACATGTAGATCTTTGCACACTTTAGTAATCACAAACAAGTACTAAATATGTATAATATGGTAAAGTATAGTCAAGTATACCGGATCCACCACTTTAATTTTTGCAAGTGAGCAGGTTAATTGAGGTTAAACATGTTCATTAAATGTGCTTATAATGTTGAATCCTGTTCATTACATAATCCACATATTGATTAAGGCAAAAGTCTCCTGAGATTCTCTGCCTTGATCATGCAATATTCCTCAACTAAGAAAGGGTATAAGCAACCTGTTCCCAGCTGTATTTATAGACAATTAAGATCATTAATGTTGACAATGGATCAGGACCCCAAAATATTTGTGGACAGTTTCTTGCTTGTAATTCCAAAATGTATTGTTTTTAATGGGTGGACTGTGACAGAAATACTGCAGATTTAAATTCAGTGTCTGGCAAATCCTGTATGAAGCCAACATGTAAATTGACAGGGAATCACCAAACAAGACTAAACAAGAAGAGAAAACAAGGGTGGAAGTGCTGACTATCTCTGTCTTCTCAACTGAAAACCACCATGCCTGTTTTATGTTCCAGGGATAAACAAAGATATTGGTGAAAAAGCCAGTTTCAACTCTACTAGTGGACTAGTGGGGCTGGAAGCTACAAAGTGTACCATCCTGGGTCTGAGCATTAACTTTAGCATGCTGTGAAGATCACAATCAATGAATTATGTCCTAGTTACCCCTGTGTTGCAGGTAAAGGAAGACCTCTCACTCCACGCTACAAGCAGTTAAAAAATTGGAACTAGGTTAAAGGACCGTCAATTATCATACAGTACCAGGAATCACAAAAAAAAACTGTTCAACTATCAACATCATAGTGCTGGTCACCTCCATCTCAACAGCTGCAAAGTTCAACTACTTACTCTGCACCAACATTTCGGAGACTGGTCCATATATCTGTTTATTTTTAAATGTTTTGGAGTGACTTCTTAATTCTACTCTCGATATGTTGTTGTGTTGGTATTTTTTTCTAATGCTAATTATTAAAATCATTCTTTGGTAACTCGAAAAAAGCCTGGTTAAATCAGCCTTTAGAACATAAGTTAATTTGGGTCTAAAAGAAAGGTATCCACAAGTGAAAGGATCTTTTCTAAATTAATGTGTTGCAACCGACCAAGGGAATGAGTGAATAAAGAAGAGGAGGCAATTTATCCCTCCTCACCTGGGAGCTTAAGCATTTTGGATATCCCATCTTGAATCATAATGAATGGGGGAAATCACCATAATAATGCCAGAAGCAAAAAGTTATACTACTTTTCTCACTGATCTACTTCCTTGTCCCCACATCTTTTCTCTCCTTTCTTCTTTCTTTATCAGTCTAGCTGATACTAATGAAATACTTCTGGTCAGTGAATAACGGACAAATTCTTTTACTCTTTCAAGCAAAATCAGGGTCATAGATTTATGGTGATTAAATTAATCAATTCTTTTTTATTTTAAAAGATATTCAGGGTGTTTTGCCACATATTTTGTGATCATGTTCTGAAATTCCATCCACTACAATCAGAAATAAATCAAACATTATATATAAATTATATAGTCATAAATTAACAGATTTGATAAGCAATTGGTAAATTAGATGTAACCAATACATACTTGACTTGCATAAAGAGTATCGATGCCACTCTCACAAAATGGGCTCACTGCAGCTTTTTTACGCCATGTGCATTCTCTGGGGTCTCTAAATTTCTTAAGCGGCCATGCCAGAAAAGCTCTGCCAAGTCTTTGCTGATCAAGAACAGCTGGAGGTTGTTGCCTGACAATGTAGAGAATAAGTTAGTATGGTTCAACAGTTAAATTAAAAAGAATTGGCAACCCAATCTCAAACTGGATCTTCCTCACCAAAATTATATCATGACATATTATTGTATGTTAGACAATTGTCAGTTTTTATCTTATTTAATGGGATATCATGTATAATTCGCACTGAAGATTTGGGTTTTGATTACGCACATTTGAAATATGAAGGGAGGTGAGTAGCTATAATAGCACTGATTTTATGCACGTACACAAATGAATGTGTGAAGGATAGATATGCATTTCCTCAGAGGTTACTAAAGCAATGAAATTGCTGAGTCACAGACATGTAGGTTGCACTTGATGTATGTGAAGGTGTCCATTTAATCTTCCCATGTGCACTACATCCTAATTGAAAGTTGTGGCCAATTTTAATTATTTATTATTTTTCACATGAGCGTTGATTAATAATGAACAAAAGTGACAGCTTATTGAGTTTTTAAATGTGTTATGCTCTGGAAAGGTTACCATCAAACTCCTGATAAACAGCATATGAGCAAGAAGGAAAAGAGGATTTCTGTCAATGCCTTTCATGGATGTCAAAGCCATGAGTGGCTCCCCCAACCCTGCCAAGTCCTAGGTTATCATTTCACTGGATGGATCCAAGATCCCTATAGATAAAAGGTAGGATCCCAGCAGTAGGATCCTATTGTTGGCCAAATAAGAGACTCTGTTAGGACTGCCATTTTTAAAATTCATTCACAGGATGTGGGCATTGCTGGCTAGAGATATTATCTGGGTCTCTGGATTAATAGTGTAGCGATAATACCACTATGTCATCACCATCTCTGTTTGTAGCAAGAAAAAGTATACGCTCAGGTGAGGAATCACACAACTGGACATAAAGGAGAGTAAGCCATGACATCTATGGAACCCTACAGAATAAAGTCCCCGTTCCATATGGTTTGACATCATTGTGACATAGCTCCTCAAACATGTTCAATAGCTACTAGAGTAAAGGGATAATTAACCCTCGACTCCACATCTCATTTCTCATCTCCTCCTCATTTCTGTCTTAAATAGGCAACTTCTTACTCCGAGATTATGTCCTCTGGTCTTCAACTCTCCCACTAGGGGAAACAACATCAAAACTTTTACCCTGTCAATTCCCCTAAAAGTATTAGGTCTCCACTCACTCTCCTGAACTCTCACTACACCAAGTTATAGTCCAACAAGTTTATTTGAAAACACAAGCTTTTGGAGCCTCAATCCTTCTTCAGGTGTTACTGAGAGAGGTAATCAAACACAGAATTTATAAGTAAAAGATCAAAGGTTCACTCCACTGATGAGGATACATTAAACAAACCTAATCTTTAATCAGTTAGAAGGTTTTAATTGATTAATATGTATATGTAAATCCCCAAATTCCTTTCAAGTTATGGCCTGATAGAACTAAAGGTTTTATCACTGACATTTTAGGTCAGACAATGTATGTTAGGTGTGTGGCCTTGTTTAGAATCTGTTTGTGTTTTAGTTTGGAGTCAGACTAGTTTTATTTATAAAGTAGGAATTTATAAAACACCGCATTGACTGACTGTCTATAAATTGTGTGCTTTTTGAACATAATAAAATGTATCTGCAAATATAAATACTTTTGAACAAAATAAAATGTAGATTCAACAGCATCTTAGGTTTGTTTACTACATCCTCATCAATGGTGTGAACCTTTGATCGTTTATTTTTAAATTCTGTATCTGATAACACCTCTCTCACTAACACGTGAACAAGAAATGAGACTCCAAAAGCTTGTGTTTTCAAATAAAACTGTTGGACTATAACCTGGTGTCATGTGATTTTTGACCTTGTCCACCCCAGTCCAACACCAGCACCTCCACCTCCTGAACTTGAATGAGTACAGTATGTACCATTGCTAAGTTTGAGAATGACACAAAAATAGGTGAGAAGGACCTACCCAACTTCTCCTCATAAGGAAATTCGTCTACACCCTGGATCAACTGAGTGAACCTTCTCTGGACTGCCTCCAACACTAGTATATCTTTCCTTAGATAAGGGGCCCAAAAAAGGTTCACAGCATTCTAGCTGTGGTCTGACCACTGTCTTGTATATGTTTAGCAAAACCCCCTACTTTTATATTCCACTCCCTGTGAAATAAAGACCAACATTCTATTTGCCTTCTCTATAAATTGCTGTGTGCTGCAACTTTTTGCAATCTTTTCACATTTAAATAATATTCATTCCTTCTATCCTGCCTGCAATAGTGCAAACCTCATATTTTCCTACATTATATACTCCATATGCCAACTTTATGCTCTTTCACTTAACCTGTCTATATAGCTCTATAGACTCTTTGTGTCATCCTCACTACTTGCCTTCTCACCTATTTTTAGTTATTCTCAAAAGTTGGTGATAGTACATTCACTACCATCATTCAGGTCTTTACTATATATTGTAAATAGTTGTGGTCACAGCACTAATTTGTGTGGCATTTCACTTATTGCAGTTTACCATCCTGAAGATATCCTCTTTATTCCATCTCTCAGATTTCCATTAGTTAGCAATCCTCTATCTGTGCTAATATGCTACCCCCAACAGCATGGGCTCTTACAAACACAGGAACAAAAACAAAGTTTTGAGCCTCTGAGGAAGGGTCACCGGACCCGAAACGTTAACTCTGTTTTCCTTCACAGATGCTATAAGACCTGCTGAGCTTTTCCAGCAACTTTGTTTTTGTTCCCGATTTACAGCATCCGCAGTTCTTTGGGTTTTTATTTAGCATAGGGTCTTACCTTATTAAGTAACCTTATGTACCATATCTTATCAAATGCCTTTTAGAATTCCAAATACAAAATTCTTCTATCTAACCCACTTATTACTTCCTCAACATACTTTAGTAAATTTCTACGGGATGATGTCACATTCTTGAAGCTATGCTGACACTGTTTGATTATATAATGTTTCAAGATGCTCTGCAATGACATCCTTTATAATAGACTCTATCATTTTCTCAATCTCAGATATTAAGCTAGCTGGCCTATAGTTACCTATTTTTTCTCTCCATCTGTTATATTGACAGTTTTCTGATGCTCTGGGACTTTTCCAGAAGTGAAGGAAACAGTGCATCAACCATATCTGCAGCCAATGTTCTCTCTGAGACATACAGCTGCTCCAGTGTTCTGCACATGACGATTGGAATCAGTACATCAATTGCTGTATTGACATCCCATTCCAGAACTTGCTACCGCACACAAGACTCAGAGGCCTGTGCAGGGAGTAAGAAAATTAGAGGGTAAGCTAACGGTAGTTACTTCCTTCAAGATCCTAGGATGCGACATATTAGGCCCGGGGGACTTATTGGTCTTTAGCTACATCAGTTTCCCTTGTACTTTTTCTATAGTAATAGCTATTGTTTTTTCCACCATCTCCCTTCCCCTGAGTCCCTTGATGTAATGCTATTAGTAGCCTCTACTGTGAAGACCTTTCAAATGCCTTCTGGAAATCTAAGTAATGTTAGCTACTGGTTTGGCTTTAAACACACTGCATGTTAAGTTCTTTGGGCAACAGCGATCTTTCCCCATACACTTGCACAAATAAAATCTATGCTTCCTTAATCATGTACATTCTAGCATTTTTTACTGCATTAGAGTTAAAGGTCCCATTTTCCCCAGATAGCTTTTCATCAGTTTCTGGCAGTGTCTGTGTATCTCATCAGTGGGCTCAGTGGAACAGCAGCTAAATTTACTTATCATATTATTCAATGTAGGATTTTATTTTTATTCACTGGATATGGGCATTGCAAGCTGGCCAGCAACTTTATTGCCCGTCTGCAGTCCTCCATGAGAAGGTGGTGGTGAGCTGCCTTCTTGAACCGCTGCAGTCCATATTCTGTAGGTAGACCCACAATACCATTAAGGAAGGAATTCCAGGATGTTGACCCAGTGACAGTGAATGAATGGAAATATATTTTTCAAGTCAGGATGATGGTGAGTTGCTTGGAGGGAAACTTGAATGTGGTGGTGTTCCCATGTATCTCTCCCCTATCACTCTAGATCAAAGTGGTCGCAGGTTTTGAAGGTGCTGTCTGAGGATCTTTGGTGAATTTCTACAGTGCAGCTTGTTGATAGTACACACTGCTGCTACTGAGCATCAGTGGTGGAAGGAGTGGATGCTTGTGGATATAGTGCTAATCAAGAAGGTTGCTTTGACCTGGATGGTGTCAAGCTTCTTGAGTGTTGTTGGAGCTGCATCCATCCAAGCAAATGGGGCGTATTCCATCACACTCCTGACTTGTGCCTTGTAGATGGTGGACAGGCTCTGGGAAGTCAGGAGGTGAGTTATTAGCCAAAGTATTCCTAGACTCTGAGCTGTTGTGCAGGGAGGACTTATCCAAGTCCTGACTAAGTGCTGACCCAATGGGTGGCACAGTGGCTCAGTGATGAGCACTGCTACTTCACAATGGCAGGGACCTAGCCTCAATTCCAACCTTGGGTGACAGAGTGGAGTTTGCATATTCTCCCTGTGTCTGTGTGGGTTTCTGATGGGTGTTCTGATTTGCTCCCACAGTCCGAAGATGTGCAGATTGGGTGGATTGGCCATGCTAAATTGTCCATAGTGTTCAGGGATTTGCAGTTGAGGTAAATGCAGGGTTTAGGGGGATAGGATGAGGGCCAGGATCTGGATGAGATGCTCTTTGTTGTATCAGTGCAGACTCAATGGGCCAAATGGCCTCATTGCGCACTGTAGGGATACTATAAGGCTAATAACAAGCCTTAATTGGTTGGATTGACAATCCATCTCTAATTAGGGCAAAGGTTTCACTGCCACCAATCCCTCCATTGGAAATGTAATGTGGTTGTTCCACTCCCCTCTTGTTACCATTTTGCAAGGCTTCCCACCTCCCAGCCAGACTCCAGAACAGCTCAAAATAAGTTTATAGAAATTTAGTAAATTATTTCCTGCAGTTTCCTTAACAAATAGCTACAATTGATGGGAATATTTGACTCTGTCAATGCAAAATGAGTGATATTCACAGACATTATAAAAGCATACATTTTCCCTGAGAAAGTGACTGGAACTCAGGTTGTGCTGATGTAAGTCATGAGCCTCAAAATCATTCTGGTAATACCTGATTTTAAAATTACCTCATTCAAGTTCCTAGGTATTTTTATGTCGTGTCCAAAATTACATACCATGGATTTTGATAACGATGAGTTATTTTGTCTGCAGCCTGCTGTCGGAACTCTCCTTGCTATAAATCAAAAACATAATGAAAATTGATGAAAGCTGAGCTAATACTTAATATATTTTCAAACTGATTGGAGTCACCAATAGCTACCTCACAAATATAAAACATAAAAAATATAATTCTGAGAATGTTTTCATTAGGTTAGAAACAAAAGAGAGAGTTCTAATTATAATGTAAATCATATAGGGCCAGTATTTTCATCTCTGCCGCCAGAAGAGTTGGCAGGAAGACAATTCTCAGCAATAACAGTTGCCCCACCATTCTTTAACACTCCGTGCTGTCTTGATCAGTTGGAAACAGGACATGTAATCTGCAATCACCCTGCCCTCGAGAGAGGCCAGCTAATCTGAATGGTCAGCAGTTCTATAGCTACAGCAGTGCTAGATTCTCGTATTGGTCGTTGCTGGGACTACAGTAGGTCCCAGAACATGAACCAGTCTACTCTCAATCATCAGTTAAGTGATGGAAGGTGATGTCGACAGTGCTATCAAGCAGCACCTGCTCAGCAATAACTTGCCCAGTGACACCCAGATTGAATTCTGCCAGGGCCACTCAGCTCCTGACCTGATTGCAGCCTTGGCTCAAACATGAACAAAAGAGCTGAATTCCAGAGGTAAAGTGAAATTGACAGCCCTTGACATCAAAGTTGTATTTGGTTGACTGTGGCATCAAGGAACCCTAGCAAAGCTGGAATAAATGGGTATTAGGGGGCAAACTCTCTATTGGTTGGAATCATACCTGGTACATAGGAAGATGTTTGTACTTAGGGGAGGTCAGTCATCTCAGCTCCAAGACGTTTCTGCAGGAGTTCCTCAGGGTAGTGCCCTATTCCCAACCATCTTCAGCTGCTTCACTAATGACCTTTCCTTCATCATAAGGTCAGAAGTGGGGATGTTCGCTGATGACTGCACAATGTTCAGCATCATTCACAACTCCTCAGATTCTGAAAAGGTCCATGTTCAAATGCAACAAGATCTGGACAATATCCAGGACTGGACTGACAAATGGCAAGTAAGATTTGTACCACATAAATGCCAGACAACGACCGTCACCAATAACAGACAATCTGACCACCACCCCTTGACATTCAATGGCGTTACCATCACTGAATCCCCCACTATCAACATCCTTGAGGTTACCATTGACTAGAAATTCGGTTTGACTCATCACATAAACATAGTGGCTGCAAGAGCAGGCCAGAAGCTAGGAATACTGTAGTGGGTAACTCACCTCTTAACTCCCTAAAGCCTGTCCACCATCTACAAGGCACAAGTCAGGAGTGTGATGGAATACTCTCCACTTGCTTGGAAGGGTGCAGCTGCAACTACACTCAAGAAGCTTGACACCATTGGTTCAAAGCAACCCGCTTGATTGGCACTATATCCACAAGTATCCACTCCCATCCACACTGATGCTCAGGAGCAGCAGTGTGTACTATCAACAAGAGGCATTGTAGAAATTCATCAAAGATCCTCAGACAGCACCCTCAAAACACACAACCACAACTTCTGACCTGCTCTTGCAGCCACTGTGTTTATTTGATGAGTCAAAATGAGTTTCTAGTCAATGGTAACCCCAAGGGTGTTGATATTGGGGGATTCAGTGATGGTAACGCCATTGAATGTCAAGGGGTGATGGTTAGATTGTCTGTTATTGGTGACGGTCATTGCCTGGCATGATGACAAGGGCAGCAGATACATGGCAACACCACCACCTTCAAGTTCCTCTACAAGTAACTCACCATCCTGATTTGAAAAATGTATCTCCATTCATTCACTATCATTGGGTCAACATCCTGGAATTCCCTCTCTAGTGACATTGTGGGTCCACCTGCAAAATATGGACTGCAGCAATTCAAGAAGGCAGCTCACCACTACCTTTTCGAGAGCAACTGGGATGGACAATAAATGCTAGCGAGCCAGCATCACCTACATCCTGCAATTGAATAAAAAATATACTGAGCATTGCCTGCTTCCTGGCCTGAACCAGGACAGATCCCCTGATGGTAATTGTTCACAATGAATGACTGACAGTGGCCAAGTCCCTAGACTGTACCCCTGACTGACAGCCACTACCTCCCACCCCCCCCAACAATCCCACCCCCACCGCTGCACTGAGAACAAGCCCCTACCAGTTTCCACCCTGGCAATTTGGTTGGATGAGTGTAGTGTGTTTGCTGTGCAGGCAGCTGGCACATACTGTCGCTGTTAGATTGTCATCCCAGTATGCTGTTCATCAAGATGCGCCTCCAATCCCAGACAGATCCCTAGTAATAAGCAGTCTGTCTGTGTGTCTGTGCCAAAAAGCACCTCAATATGGCAATACTGATAGCCTTTGGCTCTGACTGAAGCTTCCATATATGGCACCTTCCTTACAGGGACACCTGACAGCTATTCCTTCAGAAAAGATTCCACATGGCATAGCATGGAGCCCTGAGCACCTGGAGAGAGAGAAAG